AGTTATCAAAGGCTGTGGGTAATGAAATGTCAAAGTAAGGTTCGGCAAAGCGTGCATTACTTATCAACAGTGATAGACTTGGAGACATCGCAACGCCTGACTGCTGACATTTTGTGACTGTGAGTTGAATGATCTTACGCTTTTACTCGGACCACGAATGGCCACTGTCAAGATTTGCGTATATTCATACTTAAGCCGTAAATAAAACTACTATCGCATCGTCAGGATTGCACTCAGAACAGTTGATGGCGTGCTGTTGCAAGTTTTCATTATGATTTTCCTCAACGGCATGATCAGAATGCACTTCGAGGTCTCGATCGACAAGTTTTCCAAATATATCTGTAACTCTGCAAGAACAGAAGCATACAGAAAGTCTGTAGTCCGGCTGATGGACGTGACTCTGCAGATTGAAGGACGATAAGAAAGACAAAATCTGCTGGAGTCGAACCTGTCCTGAAAGCCTATACATTTTGATATCGTTTATTAGAAATTCTCAAATGTTTCGGATCATGTTCGACCCATCTTTAATGAGCGACATCAGAGAAAGCGAATCGAACATGATTCGAAACGTTCAGGAATATATCCATAGTAAATTTTGGATGAAATATTATCCAGTGAAGATGTTAAAATTTTATTATAATTTCCGCATAAAAGATTTAACTTCGATTTTTAAAAATCGTTCATTAATATATTAATTTTTTACCCGGTAAGTTTCTTCCTGTTTCCTTCACCAATTTATCCTTATGTCGTCTGTGGTTGCTTGGTGTTGACATCTGTATTATGTCATACCAGTAGGTAAATTTAAGCAGCAGCAAAGATTTTCATATTTTAATTGATTTGACGCTGTTGAACGTCTGTCTGTCCATCTTCGCACACCGTTATTCGTTTCAGAAAACTGGGCTGGCAGCTTCATTTGGTTTTTCCAGTGGTTTCAGTAGTCTGTAAATGGCGTTTCTTATAATCGGGGTATCGAAACGTGTGTCATTAAAATTCTAAAAGTAAGCAAAATAAATTGAACGTATTTGATTGTCTCAGATATACGGTATCTGGTATATACGCTCATGGATAGAGGATATCTCGTTTAAGACCAGAATTCGCGGCGTACTGCACCGCCCTGTTACACCAGCTCGTCGCCTAAGGTGGAGGTAGCATTTTAGCAAGTCACGGCTTCATTATATCTGAGCACCTAAAGTGTTACATGCAATGTCTCATATGGGCCGTAAGCAACCTGTAAGTCACTGTTTCTCTGTCAGTGAGTCCCAACTGAACCATTTTTGAAGATCGGTCAGTCGATCTGCAGAGTGCGCAGTAGCATGATTTTTCAGATTGCACTTTAACATCAGATCTCCCTGATTAAACAACATAGCATTTTATGTTTTGTCTTCCCGTTTGTGACTATATAAATATAGAATTCTTCAGATTATTCCGCATCCGTCGTTCGCACTTTGCGTATGTGCAAGGCGTAGTTTTTGTATAATTATGTACTTTTGTTTGTAGATCACAATAACTTTGCGACAGCTAATCGGTAGATTGAATCCACCCGTGTTCGTTCAGCTACTTTGTCTTGACTTCGTTTTTAGCGGTCGTTTCATCAAGTCTCTGGGTTTTACTGCTCTTGAAGTGCTGTTTTGGCGATGTTCAACATCGACTACGATCAAGTATGTAATATTTAGATTTGCTTTTGTTTGCTAATGCTTGTTTTTGACATATTTATTTTATATCGCATTTACAGCGTCTGCATATAATGAACGCTTTTTAATCTTTTAGATGAAGCCATATAGTAAGTAAGTTGTATATATGCTCAGTCTGTTCATATAGTAATTTGTGTCACCTCTTTTCTTCAGCCACATTGAACTTTAGGTGACAGTGATACACTACTGTATATATTCGATTGTACAGTAGCATGTTAAATGTACCAGATACTTGGCTTCTTTTATGTATTATTTAGTATTTTATGAATGCAGTTCACACTGATGCTTCTTTCTGCTTTCAGCGCAAGCATATGTAAAGCATAGGACAGCAAGACAGTTGCAGTGTAATATCTATCGAAAGCAAGAGAAGGTACATTAAAAGCAGGAGGATTCATGTGTGTATGGATTTAGCTTAGCATCGCTGATTTTCCATACATTCCAGTTCTTGTTTTCGAGATGATGAAGTTTCCTTGAGTATGAGACTGCTCCGTGAAATAGCTTGGTGCAATATCCGTTCAGCTAAGGAGACAGAACTGTCATATACAGTTTGCACAATGCTTTTAGCCATGAGACCTTATTGTACTCATCTCGCGATTCCATATTACGTCGCTGCAACAGCATAAAAACTCCTCAAGACTGCAAAAGAAAACATTAATGTCAGAAAAAAAGACGGGTTTCTTTATCACAGCCCCATAAGGTTGTTAGTCTGGTGATTGACGGATGCCGACGTTTCAGCCCGCATTTTATGGGCTTTTTTCGGGGTAAAGCTCTTGATGAGATTTGACAGCTGATCTGATCGCCTATAATAGGTTGTTATTTCAGCTGAGAGGTATAATATTAATAGTTTTGCAATGTATGTACCAGCTCCTGTTTTACGTGATGCAAATTGTATTATAAACAAGCGCTTATATTGTGGATTGTGGCTTGAAATAACTGTAGTATTTTTCTGTAATATATCCTGTATATGTGCATATATTACGCAATCAATGTGCCAAAATGTATAATCAACATCATTAATTAAACACACGGCAGCTGTCTGATGGTCTCTATGTTTCCCTCCCATCGCTCGGCTCTTTCAGGCAAAACTTGGTGTTATTTTGCTTCTGACAGTACTCCAATATCCCTCTTATTCATGAGAAGTATAAAGACCTGTTGTCAATTTGACATTGTTTCCTGTAACTTATCATTTAGACACCATTTTCTGGTTTACTTCTGGTTTATTTTTATTCTTACTAGCTTTGGACTGACAGTTAACGTTCAGTGGCTATTTTAACCATCAACTTTTAATTACTTAAACGTACCATTTTGTACAGTTGCTACCATGTAAGCATTAAAGGATTTGCAGTTGTAGTGCAGTTCTTGGTCATCGTTAACCACAACAATGTAACCATCTTTTGATTATTCAGCTGATTTTTGCTTTTTAGGTTCTTTCCGCCATAAAGGCGTTGAGGAAGTTCCTAGAGAAACGCAGAGAAGAAAGGCAACAGAAGACCCCTAACCTTTTCGACGATTACACAAACGAGCGCGTCGACATTATGATCACCATCAAAGTCGTGCCTCATAGGTTCGTTGGGAAGACATTCCGAATGTAAGCTTGTTCTCTGTACGATCGAATATCCGATAGGTCATTTTATGTTATTCAGTTATTTACCTCACCCTTATCGCAACCCTGACAATACAGCTGTTTGTCTAATCACAAGAGACATCGATAAAGTGATAGACGCTGATTACGACAAGTCCAGTCGGTATGTGAAGAATTTTTTGGACGAACAGGGAGTCAACAACATAGATCTGGTAATGCTTCAAATTTAAAAATTTTTTACCCTTCAGAATATCGTAACATCTAAATTAACGATAACACATCGGTCCTTCTTCGCAATTAATGGGGATCATCACTGCATAGTTTCTTTCCCATGTTTGTTTCATGTTATTACATATCACTTTTGATTGATCGGCCTATCTTATCGAAGATCATCTAACTGATGGATAGCCCTTTTGGGACTAATTCGTCACTGCTAATTTCCAGTCCATAGTCAGACTGGAGTTTGAACTGAAGGTATTTTTGTTTGTGCTTTCCATTCCGTTCGATCTTGGTAAATGGTTTTGGCTAATGTCTATACTGTGTTAGACAGAACGTCCGTTTGGCCTTCACTTTGACCGAATTGGGTTTCAGGTGATGGCTCTGAGAACTTTATTCCACTTGAAATTTTGATCAGTGAGCGGCAGTTTCTTTATCTCACCGCTGTGCAGTGCATCTCGCGGACCGGTGATGGCAGTTACAAAATGTCTTCGGTTTTTTACACTGTTATAGCACGTGCATAAATAAATCTGTCCTAATAGTATTTTGGTTTTAGGTAATCTCTTTCAATCACTTCAAACGTGAGTACTGTACCAAACAGCTGCGTCGTCGGCTAGCTTCTAATTACGACGTGTTTTTATTGGACGATTACCTGCGGTTAACACTGGTCAACGCAGAGTTTGGCACACAGTTCAAAAGGATGCACAAGTATGGTGCAGTGGTCCGAGTCAGTTTATAAAAAGTACAATGTCGATGATTACAGGAAGCCAATTCCTATAAGAATCGCCACCAAACGTGTCAAAGACCAAATTAGGAAGGCCGTCGGTGCTATAATTGTTTATATCCCTGACTTCTCAGAGATGTGGTATGAATTGACGTTGTTTTTTAAGTTCATGTACTTCGACAAGCAGACTGCAGAACCGTAAACTGTTTTGCCTATTAGCACATTGTTAATGCTCCACAGCATGCGTTAAAATTGAACTTTTTATCAGCTCATGAGCTCTGCAGAAATGGCTGCACGTTTCCGTTAAATACAGAGGTGCTCACTGCACTTTGAGTAACGGCAGTTGCTACATGTACTAAAATAAATGGTTTTTCATGGCAAAAGGATAATGATGAGTTCCACAGGACTAATTTCTTCCACGCATCCCTGTACTATAAATTTATGCTCTGCTGTGGATACAGGAATCCGTGACCGGCGTTGCTTACTCGGTTGAATGTCAGTCTTTTATTACGATTTCACTGTTATTTAATTTATACGCTTTCTTTTTTACCATGTTGTTCAGCAACAAGGTGGCTGTATTCATCTGTTGTATAATGGCATTTCAGCACCAGTTCATTCATCTTCTGACTTAACGACATCTTCGGCAGAATTAAGGCTCATAGTAAAAGTCAACACTGTGGTCTAAAATTCTACCTGACTAATATTAAAGTGATGCAAGTCTGGAAACGCCTGCGACAAGTATTTACCGTCCCAGAACTTCGTTCCGTCCTCGATGAAAGTTGGTCGATTGCTAAACAGATTTTCTGACGGCTAAGAATAGTAAGAGTTTTCACGACAAGTCTTAGCAGAATATAGCGAAGTCACGGAATTCGGAACTTAGTCAAACAGGATTATCTGATCGCTGATATGGCATGTCGCAGTCTGCTGATTTTTTGTTGTACCATCAGGGAGAACAGAATACAAGCCCATTGAAATAAGGAGTTACAGGCAACTATTGCGTATCATCCGAAAAGATTTGTTGATCAATATGAATGTGTTATGAAGCAGCTTTATCCAGCAATCGCTGCTTAAGAAAACAGGAGCGAAAGCTGTGATATTTTGGTTGTACCATGGGAACGATCTGACGGTCTGGAGAAAATGATCAAGACTCTTCTCTGTGCTTGAGACCAGTCAATAGATCCAGAAGATGCTGGACGGATGACATCATTACGACGATTGTGCATGAGTGTGAGGAGTGATGTGAAATTACATATCATTTCATGAACCCTATGCATAGAAAATGAAATTTTATTACTGTTTTTATTATCAGTCGTTATCCAAACGTCACAGCACAGGCTCTTGTTTCGAGAATCATGTGGAAACTTGCCAGGCGGTTTGCTATGGTCATCTGGCCTGTGGTCAGGGTACATTCTGTAATGATTTTAGTGTTTGCCTTCGTGGCCTTGCCCAGAAGACGGAGGCATCTTAAGGCATTAGTGTATTCTAGTAAGGAATTAGTAAAAATAATGTTATTGGCATGCATGAAGAACTGGTGAAGTAGAAAATGTAATTGGGGCTGAAGCGGATCTTTGTTTCAATTTCAGTACCAGCCATTTCGAATGGCAGTGTGAAATGCAATCTTGCGTCAACAGTGACATAATGTACCAGTTTGGGATAGGTGATGTCCAGATGATGTAAAAGCAGTGTTCCCCTCGCTTTCTTAATATTTTTTGATATTCTATCCAGTGTCATCCATCATTTCTTTTGGCGATGCATCGTCCTTTTCTAGGATAGATCGCTTGATGAAAAGATTTGATCATTTGTTTAATACAAGCCGTAGCTCCAAACCTTTGCATATTCAGTGGCTTAGATTATTCACATTCACAAAATTCCCTGCATTTCATTCTCTCGTTATTGTTTAAAATCAACCATTTGTTTCTGGCCATTGGCATTAACTTCAGGTTTTTGTTTTTCTAACGGTCCTGGCCCCTCAGCGATCAGGCAAGGTCTTTGAGCTGGGTTTGAAAACGGTACAGTGTCAGGTCTTCAGTATAACTAAGCGCATTTTTTGGGTAAACCGTTCACTCCACTATCCTCTAGTACTTTTAGCTGAGTAGAAGTCTATAACTTACAACGATTGGGACAGATAAGACTGTTAAGCCTGCTGTGCCGAACCTGGAATCTGCGGTACTCCCCTTCCCCATTGTTAGCGGTACGTGTAACTTTTAAGAAAATAATTAAAGTACATGTATTTTTTATTGCTTGAAAACAGCCTTTACGATTGCTTCAGTGCCAAAGACCACTTTATGCTCGTAAAAGATGATAGTTTAAATTAAACAGGATTCCACAATTCTGTTTTGCTTACATTGGTTTTAGTCGTTATCAGATAGCCACTCTGAAGAACACGGACGACGAAATCCTTGAAAACTTTAAAACCGTTGTCGATCGATGGGGTAAGGTGTTCCCAGGTGGATTTGAAAACATCCGTTTCGTGTACGTGATGGGCAAGAATACGCCTGCGCTTCCGGTTTTTGCTTCATTCGGTAACGCTGTTATTTTCTCTTTATTTGCCATTGTTTCACTCATATGATCACGTGACACGCTAACGGCAGTGCGATAAGTTATTGCCATTTGCTTTTCGCATGCAAGTGCCTTGTAATCGTTTTTGCTATATTTTGGGGTCATTTCTTAATTGAGGTTATAATGATTGCTGATGTTCACGAAAATAGCTTACTCGTACCAATCAATCGTGTCTATCGAATTTACACAAAGTTTCTTTGTATCGTTGATAAGCGCTTACAGTGAAGTTACTTGACGTTGAAAAATGCACTGTGATTAGGAATTGCCTAGTAACCTATAAAACAAAATACATCAGAAGTCAGCAATTAGATGCATTGGTTCATGAGAATGTGTACTGCTGGTACTTTTACTGAAAAAATAGTTAATTTAAACGCAACGCAAGGACACATATATGCGACCTGTCAGATGATACATTATGCTTTTTTAACGTGTCTCACAGGCCTTTTTCAAAGTAAGTCTGGTGATGAAGTCTGACTGTTGTTAGGTTGATCTACAGTAGCGGGTCAATTTTCATCCAAGTTTAGAGGTTAAGTGGCAGGACGGCCCAACGGTTCGGTCAACCGCACGTATGCACCCAGCTCTGAGTGAAATGATGAAACTAATGGGCGTATCGTTTGTTCTCAAACGTTGTCCCATTTTCAGTGACATTGAGTTTCTACATACGCTATCGCGAGACATTGATGGCATAGTGAACATAGGAAGATTAACTACTAACTATCCAAAATGACAGTGCATTTTGAGAAATGAAAAATGTCTACCCTTTCAGATCGATAGTCACTTCTGAATTATAAAGTTGATTTGGTTTTTTGGTACTGGTTATCACTTCTTGAAGTGTTTTTTATTTTAGGATCGCCTAACCTGGTCGAAATACCTAAACGTCAGAAAAGCGCTACCGAGCCGTTCGTTGTTGATGAACTGACGACGATTAATAAGGACGTCAAAGTTTACAGTGATGGCAGAGTGACAGTTCTGAATCCACAAAGTAATTTACCATACAGGAAATGTTTTTTACCAGTAATTAGTTACAACAGAAATTATCCCTCGACTGACAGTGCCAGATTTAAGATTCTCGGCAAAGCTGAATACATTCCTTTCAATAATTCATGCTTATTCAACAATATCTTCTTGCCTCTTCCGTTCAGAACTGGTAGCGATTTCGTTGCTGACATATCTTCTTGCTGATCTTCAGCAGCCGTCAGCGTGCCGATACGCCTCCAGCTGCCAGAAAACGTCAGGCAGGTTCTGATCATCAATTTTCCGCAGTTATGTCTGTTATCAAACAGCATGCAACGCCCTTACTACTCCGGGTGATAACCAAGCCGGTACAGCGTTCGATAACGGCAGTACCATGACGGGCGTGGAATAAGCTTTACGATCCCTAAGCATTTTCCTTTCTCAGCCAGGCATGGAACCGGCAACAATGTTGTTCGTTTCATCGTTACCGTATAGAACAGATTGGATTTTTGACAGATGACGTACAACCTTCACCTAATCGTTATTTCTTGTTCTTTGTTAAAACAGTCTACCTTATAGTCCGTCTTTTTTTACTGAAACGATCTCACCTCTTGTTTTTTTAAGAACTACTTTCCATGTAAAAAATTACTAAGCAGAGGGAGAAAACTGCTGTTCTAGATGAACTAAATTAAAACATGTTTCACCAGTCCTCGGCAAATCTCAGATGTAGCTTGCTTTAAGTATGTTACCGAAGTACTACTTCTGTGATCTGTTATGAATCGTTGCAGTACACTAGATCACGAAGCGAATCGTGATTGCCTTCGCTGATTTGGACGGCCATTCCACATATATTCGAAAGTAGTCTATAAACTCCTGCGCTTCGAACAGGTAATCTTAGTACGTGCTGCACTGGTACAGTGAATAGTGCAGCGAACATTTAGATTTTTAAGGCGAAGGTAGCATCTGTTGAGTATCTTTGCTGGAGACCTTCGCGTGAATCCTTCGGTAGTTGCATTAGCCGAAACGAAAAAGTATCCGCGATGCAGGATGTTTGGGAAGCTCTTTTGGAAAGCGTTAATGACTGAATGCTCGAAATCACTCAGTACCGATTAACGTACCAAACTTGGTTCCAAATTTTTCAAGGCGCCCGAGATTCTTAAATAACTCTCATCCGTTTTGCCCAGCAGCAAGGCAGATACCGATGGTGTTTGAGCACTCTATCTCATGGATTGTATACAGCTGCTGAAACAATTGAGGAACTATTTTAAATGTTCCGTCGGCATACCAGCTTAACGCTTGCGACAGTAGTCGCAAATGATTCCTAGTAAAAATAATTAACAGACAACCGTTAGAGTCCGCTGTAGTGCATCAAGAAATCCTCCTAGCCAAACGTCTGCCTGTACCCTACCAGCACTGTCAGATCATCTAGACTGGTTGGATTTGATAGTTCGACCTGCGACTCTCTTGTGCCTGACTGTTTGTTTTATGCTACGAATGGATAACAACTTTTCGGCTACTGCCTTTGACGCCCTAAAGAAGCTAAGGCCACAATCTTATTGGTAGAACTCTGAGACATTATGGCGCGTTCCTTTAGTTGTTATGCGGGATCAGCAGCGTGGTTATGTTTCTTGATTGATAAAATCTGTGCAGCATAGCAAGACATTTTTTCTTCCGACTGAGTTCGCAAATCTACATTACCTTTTCTTTCACCTCCTTGCCCTTGAAAAACAATTGACCCAGGTGGAGCAACTTCGGCTTCCCTTTGTACTCGGAGTCAACCCCACGACATTTGACGGCTATCCATTTGAAATACTGTAAATTACAGTTGTGTTCTTGATCAACAATCATACCCATAACACGTGGCATATTCAGCAACCTTACAGACGATCGGTTGTGGCAAGAAAGTGTGCGGGCATATTTATGTGAACGATCCAATTAACGTTGCAGCCAAAAAATTGTTATTAATTACTATTTGTTTTTAGCCACAAAGCGCAGAAAAAGTTCTAAAACTTCACCAAGCAAGAAGAAAAAATCTGAAAATGGTACAACTGACTGAATGATTCTTTGTTATTCGTTAGTTTTAATGTAATAAACTACCAAACACATCACGGAAAAGTTTTTCATCGACAATCTCGTATTTTCTCAGTGACAGGTATAACTTGAATGAATCATCAGAGTACCTCTCGAGTTTCAGGTAAGCTCCTCGCTTGTCGTAAGAAATGTCAGTCAATGGAACCAGATCTTCGATGGGTACAATTATGTTTCGCCTAAAGCCCCAGAAATCCAGGTAACCTATGCGGACAACGCTCTGCAACCAATGTTTACTGATGACGCCAATCGTGCGGCGAGTGAGAGCCGTTACAACGTAAAGCATGACCAAAGCGACCACCGCGGCGAAGGAAATGATTAGGACTAAAGTAGGTGATTGTGCTGCATCCATGTACTGTTTCCAGGCTACAGGCACCAAAACCACGGTCAACGCCGTTTGCAAGATTTTAATCTTCGATATTGCCGCTATCACAGTGATTAGTTTAAAACGATAAATCGGTATCCATTCAGCGGAGGCCTCAGCCTTGATTCCATTCATCGGCTTCCTACTGACCAACTGTTCAGCAGTTCTTCTTGTTGAAAAGCAAAAATGTCGAGGCGTCTGCTTTGTCAGAACGAACACTGTATTTCCCAGGCCAGCCTTCCAGAGGTTTCGCAAAGCTGCTAAACACTGCTTTGCATTCGCCGCCATCTAAAATAAAGCCGCTTTACGAAATCCGATCGGAAAGCTTTTACGAAGTTCAGTCGTATACTAGACTTACGGTCAGTTGGTCAAAAGTATTGTAAAGCCATGCTGGTATTTTAAAAACATTCAAAAACGGAACGATATTTGCAAGTTCTTTTAAAAAACAACAGTAGTCAGTAGTATGTACTCCTCAGCTTTTATGGCAGGCATGAAGGCTGAGATTTAACGATTCGATAGAATACCTATAAATGTGACGAGTACTGCGAATTTCTTGTAGAGGTATTAAAATCAGACAACTGGTCTTAGCACTGCAAGAATTAGAGAAAGACTGCACAACAGGGATAAATAAGAAATTCTGGTTATCCAATAAGAATAAAAGCTTCAGGCTAGAGAACACAGTACTCCTTGTACAATACCGAAAGGGTCGTCAGGAAGTAAGCAAACCGATATCGAAGCAACGGGATCAGCAAAATTAAAGCGCACACCCTGTATCGCATGTATGTAGGTACAGTGGTACTACGCCGAAAGGAAAGTCCTAATTCATTTGTGCGCTGTGTCGGTGCGCTAGGTAGATTCTTAAAGGAAAAATTACAAGCACCATTCTAGGTTCAGGCAGATGATGACACGATTTCAAATTTCAGTTACATCACTTCCTGTTTCTTAGCCACTCATGCAGCGTGAATAAAGTAGTCTTCTCTGAAGTGAAAGCATTTAATGGTTCTTCATCTAACCTCGCTTTATTTACGTTACGAACGTAGACAGCACGATGAAGAAATTTAATAAGGTAATCGCTTTAGTACCTTCAGTACTGTTTAATGATAAATTTATCCTATGATACATCGCGTAATCGAAAATAACTTTCAAATGTTAGTCCACGAAACTTTCCATCTGCAGTAATCAAAATACGAATGGACAGATTTACGTGACTGTTTAAAATACAGCACTCAATAGAACAAAACGAGCATTTTCACGGTAAAACTCAACATTCTTCTCAAGAAGAGGATTGAACTAAGTTAAGCATGCGAGCAACGAGAAAGCAAGCAATTCTATTCGTCAATCTATAGCCCTTCCATAAACCTGGATTAAAATTTCTGTATTATAGTTCAAAAGGAAGTGCTGCCGCCGTCTGGGTATAAAGAAGTCGGGGTGAAGGATCGAAAGCTGCCACGCTCTATACTGAATTTTCTTTGCTGATTCCATTAATGCCCAAAACATTTTTCACGACTTGCACAAACTTACTCAAACAAGTAACTGTTAAATGAACGAGAGGGATATGTCAAAAGCACGGTCAACTAAATCAAATGCACATCATTCAATTCTACCAGTACGTGACACCAAAAATATGGAGATGAACATTGTTCAAAGTTAGAAAATATCGTTAATCTTCAAATCTTTGCCACATTCCGAACAAATTTCCCTGCAGTAGTAAACTTCTTTTTCTACAAAGCAATTTCAAAGATTTGATTCAAGCAATCTTAAGCAAAAACTCGTCTTTACTGCCTAAGCCGAAATTTCTAGATAAAATTTAGTCGCACACTCATACAGGTATCCTGCAGATCACAATCATGTGAAT